ACTGGTTTGGTTTATGACGGTTCTTATTCAAGTGTCCCGTTCGTAAAATAGACGTTTCCTACCTTTTAATCCCTCGGTAAACCAACCACTTTGCCCCGACCCGAAAACACCCCACTTCGTCCCGATCCGAACACACCTCCCACCCTCTTCAATTGCACCTCACAAGTTAATTTCGATTTTGGAGTCAAAATTTGACTCCAAAGTCAAAAATAGCTTGTAGAGTGCAATTGAAGGGGTGGGGAGAGTGTTTGAGAAATTATGTATGAACAAAATACTACAATTATGATAGAATTATTAACTCTAAAAAAAACTCCGTATGAGTTGTACTTTTGTGATTCTAAAGTCTACATGAGAAATGTTTTTTATAGTCTTAAAAGTAAATTTTTTATTTTTTGCATAAAGCCCAACTTTTAATGATACGTATGTGCTAAAGTCTACAAAATAAGTTTGGACCAAAACAATCACGTAAGAATTTGCCAGACAACACACAAAGTGTTTTTTAAACAAGTTTTCATTGTAATACGAAGTAATATGCAGCACAAATTTATAGAATCTATGATTAAAGTTTATTTAGTTTGACATTCAAAAATTCATGTTGAATGAATACTTTGAAACAGATAAAGTAATTTCTTTAGTAGCTCTCATGAACATTATTGTAGTATCTTTTCAAATTAATCTAAATGTTTTAAGTTATTAAAAAAATGTCTTAAGCACAGAAGAATGAAACTCAAACACTTTGCCAACATGGTTGGATTGATTTTCTTACTACTATGCCAACATGCATCGAGAATAGATAGAGTGATTTACTTTAAATAGTTTTCCTATGTTAATATGAGGATTAAATAAGTGTTTGGTTCCTATAAAATTAGTGAATCTTGCCTTTTGTTTCTCTAAAATAAATTTTAATTAAGTCAACCTTATAACATTTTTTTTTGCAGATAATTTTTCCACCACTTTTGAACTAGTGTCCGGATTCAAACACCAAAAACAAAATTGTTACTCTTAGATAAACCAATAACATATGGAGTATTTAACATTAACTCTAAATAAAAAATTTAGTGGGAGGACCGTTTGAAAAAGAATACATTTTAAAAGATTGACTTGATTAAAAAAAATCTTTTGGAGACCAAAAGCAAAAGTCCCTAATTTTAAAGGGACGCCATATTTTTAACTTTTAATATGACCATATTTTCGCACAAAACATAAGCTACTACCTCCGTCTCTGTGTATTTGTCTAGTTTGAGTTTTTCGAGTCAAACTGGACAAATTTTAAACTCCAATTACTCTCAATTTATATTGCATATTAGCATAATGAAATACAATTTTAAAAGTTCTCAATACGATAAATCCAATAAAGTCATTTTTATGTTAAAATACATTATGGTTTTTATTTAATTGAAGCTCAAAGTTTGTCCAGTTTGACTTGAAAAAATCAAACTAGACAAATACAATGAGACGAAGGGAGTACTTGTTTGAACATAATCCAATTTTGTTATGGGATGGTATCTATCACTAATATTGACTTGTTTTGGTATCTATCACTAATATTGACGTTTTAAAAAAACGCAATCCAAATTTGTTATGACCAAACAAACATGTAGGAATAAACGGTGTATAGGTCTGAGTCGGAGTTTGGGATTTCTTAATTGTGGTAGAGCTATAATTTGGTATTAGAGTGACTATTATTTAAAAAAGGTTATCTTTCAAATTTTATGTGAGCGTTAGTTAGTTGGTCAATAGATGGTGCAAAAAGTAATTCAATGTTTGATGTGATTAGATCTGGTCTAATTTTAATATTGTATGATATGGTATGATATAACCTGTTCTGTTGCAATATTTAAAGTTATTTTGATCTGATCTATTCTGATCTTATTCAAATAAGAACAAGTAATAAATAATTAGAATAAGTTGAAGAGTACGAGTTCTTAAAGACATAATTTACTTTCTACTGATTAGTCTAATATTAAAAATTAATTTTCTTTTTCTAGACTATTATGTTTCAGACCAAACGGAAGAACCCAACCCAAAAGACTAGTCTAATAGGTGAGGGAACCCATTTGGCCTATAAACCCCACATTAATTGCCCATACAACCGATGTGGGACAAGTCTCATACTTTGCAATGGTTTCGGTCCATAACATATTATGTGGGCTAATCTTAGGGAAAAAGACTAAAGTATGAGTAAAACATTGAAAATGTATTGAAATAAGAATTCCATGTTTTTATTTTCGAAATAGGAGTTAAAAGGCATTTACATTACCAGACATGGTCATGTACATTACCAAAAAGTATAGTAATATATTACCGCTATGCAGAGTCTTATTTCGGAAATAAAAACATGAAATTTCTATTTTGATATTTTTTTTCTATGTTTTAGTCCTATTTAGAGTGATTTCCACTAATCTTTGAAGATTATAAGATGAGATTATCCTTTTTTTTCCTCTTTTGTGTTAAATCAGCGGAAAAGTCTTTGAGTATTGAACAATCAAAATATAGAAATAGTCGTGACACGGATCGCAGTGGTCAAACAATTGTTAGAATGTTAATTGAAAATATGATATTAAATTGGTCAATGAAATTTTGTCTTCAAACTTTGATTTGGACAAAATTTTCGAAGTTTCTTTGAACTTATGAGTTTACGGAGTATTTCGCAACACCACACGTAATTATCATTTGTTGACTTTTGGCATTAATCTTTTTGTCCAAATCTTTTAATTGCGTATTTTTTCTTTCATATGAATAAAAATATTTGGATGCAAGCCACACCCTAAGTGTTTGTTTGAATTGAGAGTCAATTAAGTTTGGCTCACGAATGTATCCAGATTATGATTGTACATGAATTGAATATTAAAGTATTCAATTTTGTATTTGATTAACTTTTTATAATAGGATGTGAATACGAAACGAACGCAAAAATGAAATTTGTATTCGTATTTGATTGTTATTTGAATATTCATTGAATCTGAAATAAAAATTTAAATAGTTACTATAGTTTAATTTAAATGATATATTGAGATCGATTTTAGTTTCTTTAAGTGACATATTTTATGCTATACCAAAGTAATATTAATGTAGTTGTGCAAAAAAAAAGATTAGGGAACGAGCATGCCTACTACGTAGTAAGATTTTTAATAAGTGAAATTTGCACTAAATAGGACTAAAACATAATGACTTTCCTAATGTAGGATTTAAACTTTTTTATTTCCTAGATAAGACTTAATAATGACCTAATTGAAGGAATAATGTCCAGTAATGATGGACATTTAGTTGAATAATGACTACTTGATAATGACCAAAGTTCCTAAATTGGGAAATAAAAACATATGGTCTTATATTGAGAAAGTCATTATGTTTTAGTCCTACTTAGGTAAATTTCTCTTTTAATAAATTCAAGTAATGTATTTATAGATCAAGAAAGATTAGACATTGAAAATACAAACTATATGAGTCATCGATATTAAAATATAAATGTAGACAAAAACTAGTTACTATATATAGTCTAGAAATAGGATATAAAAAATATAGTTTCAAAATGAGTTGGTTGGAATGCATTCATATATTAAAAGAAAGTTGAATAAGAATTTATCTACATACTTCGTATTCATTTGTATAGTTGAATTATTTGAATATATTCATTAATGTAATTAATCGAATACAAACATATTTGTCGTTTAACTTCCGAATACTAAAAATATTTATATTCTCATTCAATTCGTATTCGTTTTTATGGATACGAATCATAATATTTAAATATGAATCAGGAATCGATCTAAAATTATTCATTTCATTTACAACCATAATCAAGATGGCAATACCTCAACAGCTACAAGCCGTGAGGGTGGATTGAACAACGCTTGCGACCACTCACGGCTTCATTATGCATTGGTTCAATCCACCCTCTTTCTGTCTCAACCCATCAGATTTGCTATCTTTTGAATTGCTATCACTATCAAGATTGTTTATAACATCATTGTGTTGTGCAATTGATACATGACATCTACGAACGACATCTCTGGATGGACATGTGAGGTAAGGGATTGTGTTTTGGCCTTCCCCTACGATGGAACGACCAATGTCGTCCGAGTAGCATGTGACAAGCATCCATCGATATGACATCACACCATATTTCATCCTTGTAGATTTGTCCAAGACTTTGTGACACCAAGTATCGAGTGTCAACACGTAACCCTTTACCATGATTTAGCCATTGAATCGTATATGGTGTCGGGTGTGGTGAAGTTTTTAGCTGGAGTTTATCCACCAGTCATAGAAGCAATATTCGTACAACTCCCACTATCAATGATGAGAGAGCACACCTTTTCTTGGATTGTACAACGAGTATGAAAGATATTCTCTCGTTGTATTATTTCTTCTTTTGGGCAGGTCATAATACTTAAAGTCCTACGAATGACCAAAAGTTTTCCTTCATCGGCTTCAACGTACTCATCTTCTTCATTAACCCATGAAAGATCAGTATCATCTCCTTCATTTTCAACAAGAGTCATCACTTTCTTGTTGGTACAATCTCTTGATCGGTGCTTTGGCAGCGAAAACACCTTTGAACTTGGTAGGCATTAGGATTGTTTCTGGGCTCATTTTAGATATTTGTGGGATAATTTGGAGTACAACCCTGGTGTTGGAGGGTTGGGCCGTGGGAGGTGAAGGGGTTGAGGCCTGAGGGTGTGGGTAGTAAGGTTTGGTATGAAGAGGAAGTTCTTGCTTGGGCAGTCTTGGTTTTCTTAAGTTTACTTTCAACTTTAAGAGCTTACTTCGTAAGATATTCAAGTGTGTGGTACTCTCGAATCTCTACAGTGTTAGCTATTTGGATATTCAATCCAAATAGATCTGATCACACCTTAATAAGAGTTCTTTGAAGTTCACGCTTTAAATATATAAAATTTATTTTTTAATTTTATACTTGCAATCAAATAAATTAAATTAAAATAAAGTTAGGGAAAAAACGTCTAAGTTGAAGAAATAAATATTTACGGTTAGGCCCTCGTCTGGTCTCTCTCCTCGAAATGAAGGCAAGTGGAATGGAAAAAAGTTAGAGAGAGAGAGAAATGAGAATTTTCGCATGAAAGTTGGTACCATAATTCAATAAATGGTCTGAAATTCTCTCACAAACACGCACGAATTCACAGCTGTTCAGCTACCTACCCGCCTCTCTCCTTCTTCTCTGTCGCCCAGGTATGATCTCTCACAACTTCAGTTCCATTTAAGCTCCTAACACCGCCGCCCCGGCAGGAGGCGGCGGCAGTAGTCGGAAGGGAGGCGATTTCTTGTTTTCGAATTCACCCTTCTCCGTATGATTATTCGTCTCTCGAAATTCCGGGTTTGGATCTGTAAACTGTTGTTGTAATGGAGTCGTTTTTTTGAAGTCCTATTTTTTTTTCCTTTCTGGGGATCGATTTTGAAGTTCTATTTTGGGGAGATTGTTATACGGCCGATTCGTTTCTGTTTTTTGTGTTTTGACTTAGTGTGGTAATAAAATAACAATAATAAAAATGAAATTCAATGATCCCAAAGTCGGTTTTTTTATAAGCTAATAATCCTAACTCTCACATTCCCATCAATAATATCAAGTTTTATCAGTGGTAATGCTTACTATGTCACCGCCCATGAATTTTCACTAGTGTGCTGAAAACTTGCAATCTTTGATGGGAAATGGAGGCCATTATCATTTACATTGACCAAACCAGGGGTTATTAATGGGCTTAACTTTG